ATATTGTTACTTTGAAAATTGGCCAAAAATAATAGTTTAACACAGAAGAAACTATCAACATCATACAAAATTATGTGTCTCTGACAACTCCACATATTTATATTTTCAGGAAACAAGAACAAGCAGTTCCCTATACAGGTTTTCTCTTTAGGCATTGTCACAGTAGTATTCAATCTTGTTTTTTCAGCTATCCCTATTAGCCCTTCATATCTATCTTCTTAATAGACTTTCAGAATTAAAACATGTGAAGCTGAAGTGTTTTCTGGGACTCGGATAAATTTGAACATCTCTTCTTGTTGCATCTATTACTCTAAAATAAAATTTCATTCTGAAATATTTCAGTTTAATAGAAAAAAGCAAAAGCCTTCAGGAAAATATCCATCTTTCCTAATTTTCCCTGGATTCACTCTTTCTCTAACCCAATGTCTTTGTATCTAAAGCTAACCCAGAATAGGAGGCTTGGCATATTTGTAACTGGCTTCACAAACTGCAACAGTTTGGTTGTATATTATCAACCTCTGTATATGGTTTCTTGCAAGTCAGATTGTTTAAGGCCAGTGAATTTCGCTCAGGGTTCGTGTGGCATGAGTTTAACCACCGCAGTCTGGGAACCATGGACTTGAACCCTGTTACTGTTGCGACTGTTCAGTAAACCGTGTTTAAATAAACAGTGGCTTAGCCAACGGAAGAATTCAACCCTGGAAAACACCCCGAGGCGAAAAACTGCCTCCCCGGGGCCAAAGATCTATATACGGCGCTCGGGATATACCGGGAGGCGGCTTGAGGCGGAGGCTCCTTCTTCTCCTCCGGTGGTATCTCCCTGAAATGCACTGACTGGGAAACGAAATACCCAATCACCGTCCACACTCCCATCGCGTACAGCAGAGAGAACCGACGCGACCACAGGGCGGCCCGCTGCGCCCTGAGGTCGCCATTCGTCATCTCTGCGTCCAACGGGGAAACGGCCCGTTTAGTGGCCGCAGGAAAGACACCGGACTACGGTAACACCGAGCGAGGCCGAACACTTGCTCCTCACTTCCGTCGCTACCTAACCTCGCGGTTCGCTTTCTCCGCCTCCTCTGATGTCATATCCTGTCTTGAAGCTTTCGGTAGTCTTCTCTTCCCGCACTCCCCGCATTTAAGAAACGCTTAAATGAACTGACCTTTCTGAAGGTGTTCCGGTGAACCAGAGGTTCTCAATCTTGGCGGCTTTAAGGTGTCTGGACTTCAACTCCCAGAATTCCCTGGTCAGCAACGTTACCAAGATTGAGAAACTGATGTAAACGATGGCTTTAAAAAACGCCCTCACTCAATTTCTGGCCATGATTAATTTCGATCTGTGCTTAGGGCAGCTAATTTTGGAATCAACCTACATTGTTCTTAACTATTGATAGTTGATCGTAAAAGGCAGAAGCTGTCTGCCACTTTGATATCTTTGATAGCCAGTTCTGAGGCTGGCTATCCATAATTACCTATACTTAATTAGCAGTACCTTGAATTGCATCCAGGTCATTGACAACCAGTACAGCTTGTGGGGCAGTGGTATCACATGGGCATACCAAACCAAAAAATATTACATCTATATGCCACCCATTTTGCTATCCAAAGTGACTCTGGGCAGCATACAATGCAATAGCACTTGGACTTATGTATACCCCTCCCCCCCCAGTGCTTTACAGCACTCTCCATGTGATTTACAGTAAAAGCATATTGCCCTGAACAATGGGGGGGGGGGGGTGTCCTCATTTTAGTGACCTTGTAAGGATGGGAGGCTGAGTCAACCCTGAGCCAGTCAGGATCGAACTCCTGGCTGTGGGCACTTCAATCTAAGCACTGTGCCACCAGAGCTCAATTCAATACATTTCCTGCTCCACTGGATTCTTGACCAACTATATCTTCTAAAATAGTCTATAAGGGCAGTCTATGTAAAGCACATTGCAATGTTCCAGGTATCAGATGATGTAATGAGCCATAGCGAAATATTTGGAAGCCATTACAAGGCCAAAACCATAAATTTTGATATTGATTAAAAAAACAAATGTTCTTGCTCTTTGCCAGGTAACAGCTGAACTGAAATAACCAGCCTCTCAAGAAAATGCTTCTCTATAGACCCACTCCTTTCTTCTATAAAGAAATGTTTCAGATATCTTCATTTCCTTAGAATCTTCTTTTGTCCATGCTTTGTTTAGCCATTGCCAATGAAGGTAAGAGATGTTAGCTGCTATGAAGTTATTGTCAGGATTCCAGCAGTTACTCCCATTTAACACTATGCTATATGTGTTGGCATAAAGCTGTAATAGCACGTTCAAAGAAAATACTAAATTGTAACAGCCAGGGTCACACATCAAGATGAAAAGCAACCCACATTGCTACTTACCATAATAAATGGTAATAATAATAATAAATGTACCCAACTATTTTCAAAGTGATTACCTATTGTTAAAGAGAAAAGGATATACACTAGTTCAGGGATATCAAACTCGGATTGTCACAGCATCATCATGTGATGTATCACGGCTTCCCTTCGCTAAACCAGACATGGGTATTCCCAGCGTGTGATGCATCTGGCCCGCAGGCTACGCGTTTGATAGTCCTGCACTAGTTTAATATAAAAAGCTAAAATTAACATTTGATTAAGATCATCGTCATCAGCCATTCAGATGTGTTTGACTCTCAGTCACTCAATGGATCAACACTGTCCATGCCCTTCTGTCTCTTAACTGCCTCCTTCAGATCTCCTGTGGTCATCCCAGTATCTTTTATAGCATCCAGCCAGCAGGTACTAGGTGGCTTTCTCATTTTTCCGTTGATCACTCCCAATATGATAGATTTTTCAAATCATCTCTCATGACATAACCAAAGTATGACAGCCTCTGTTTGGCAATCTTGGCTTCAAAGGATATTTTTGGTGAGGTTCAGTCTAGGATTTTGTTATTTTTGCAGTTGGGATGCACAATAGTTGCCTCCAGCTGTTCTGACCCAGTCTTAGCAGGAGCAAGAAACAGACTCCTTGTCATGAAAAACCCCTTTTTATTTACCTCTTGTGAATTAATTGCATTCACCCACCGAAAAGTCCAGGCAATAGTCCTTCAAAGAATTAATGGCAGCAACAGATCTTATCAGTTCCTTGCAATAATTACAAGGCCATGAGCTCCCAGCCGAAAGGCTGCAAATATAAGTTCTGGCAAGCAATCTCTGGCATGAAACACAATGGGAAGTCTTCAGAAAGATGAACTGTTGTCTCTTCCAACAACCACTCCCCTTTCCTTCTATTTATTCTCCCAGCCAGGAAGGGGGCAGTCAGCATCCATGTGCTTTGCTTCCTGAGTGACTCCCTGACTTCTGCTTTTCCCCTCTCCTCTCCTAACAGCTCTGCGCATCTGGAACAGGCCCCAGCTGTACTTCCTCTTCGCTCATATCAGTCTCCGAGGGCAGCTGTCTCTCTGGTGGCTGGAAAATGTTAGATGGCCCTGCCTCTATCTCTGCATCCGACAGAGCATCTATCAGAGCCTTCTCCAGACTCTAGAACTGGCCCAAGTTCCTCCCCAACCCTCTCATCGTTCAATTCTGCCGCCAGCTCCACTGGCAGCTGACGAGCCACAACAAAAGCATCCACCCTTCTATCTGCCCTTTTTCAGAGTCCACGTTTCACAGTCATAAGTAGTAGCAATTGGAAAAAATATTGCACTAACTAGTCTGCATTTGGTTGTGAGGCTGATGTCTTTACTCATTCAGATGTTATTCATGCAGTTCTTCCAAGTGCTATACGCCTTCTTATAGTGGCTGCCTGTTCAGAGTACAATGAGTGAATGAGCTGGATGTGGTGTGGTGGTATTCTGAGTTTTTTAAGGCAGGCAGTTCCAGAGCTTGTCATGATTAACACAGTCAAAAGAATTTAATATCGTTAATGAAACACACGTAGAGGTATTTTTGGTATACCTTTGTTTTTTCTATCATCCAGCGTAGACTGACAATATGATCACAAGTTCCTCTTCCTTTCTGAAATCCTGCTTATAAATCAGGTAGTTCTCTGTTGGCAGTTGGATTCAAACATTGCTGGATTATATTCAAGAGAATTTTACTCACTGTGGTATTAAGGCTTTCTTTACTTTGGGATAAATATTGACCTTTTCCATTTTTTGGCCATGCAATCAAAATGGGATAATTAGAAAAAGATTGAACCTAAGACTGAACCTAAGATTGAATCTAACAGAAGTTAGGGAGAAGTTATAACCAATCAGCACCCAATACAGGTAGTTCTTGACTTACGACAATTGAGCCCAAAATTTATGTTGCTAAGTAAAAAATTTGTTAAGTGAGTTTAGCCATTTCACATCTTTTCTTGCCACATCTCTTAAGTAAATCATTGCAGTTGTTAAGTTAGTAACATGATTGTTAAGTGAATTCGGCTTCTCCATTGATTTTGCTTGTCAGAAGGTTGTAAAAGCTGATCACCTGACCCCAGGACACTGCAACCATTATAAATAGGAGCCAGTTGTCAAATTTCCAAATATAAATAACGTGATCATGGAGATGCTGCAATGGTCATAAATGTGGTCATGCCACTTTTTTTCAGTGCTGTTCTAACTTTGGTCACTAAATGAACTGTTATAAATCGAGGACTACCTGTATATATAGAATTATTGTATTCACTAACTAAATCTTGTCAGTTGTGTAACTGTTTTTTGCATTTTTCTCTTTTTCTCATAGTTAAAGAATGTAGTATATCTATTAAAGAAATTTTATTACAAAACAGAATCTTATGTGACTTGCTGTTAGATTATTTTGCATCTTATACTATTTTAATATCCAGATAATTCCCCAATTTACATTTAACCATTTCTATCAATCTGTACTATGACTATTATTGTAATAAATAACTGTTCATAGTCTGGCAATACTAATTCATTGCATCTATCCAAGCCAGAAAATTAGGAATGGTAAACCTTCCACCCTGCACCCAATAAGTGGTAGAGAACATAATACATTAAGGCTTAACACTATTATAAGGTTTATTTTGCTTAGTTGTAAGAGTAGAAATATGAACTATGCAGGACAGTATAAATGCAGATTTTGATCTTGGGATAAGTACATGAAAATGAAGAATTTGTAGAAGTATATTAATAAGTTAAATCTAACATGTAAAATTCCCCTGTTTATATGGGTTAATTAAAACTTTGATTAAAAAAAAGGAATGTTATTAATTTCTTGGTAGACTGTAATCTATCTGCAGCATGATTCAATAAGATTATTGAATTACAAAATTTACAGAATAACAGAGTTGGAAGGGATCTTGGAAATCTTCTAGTCTTTTGAGATTTTAGTATCAAAATTAGGATGCGCTTGATACAGCCAGCTTTTTTAGATGATCCATGAATACTTGTAGACTAACATCATCTGTTAGTATTGGCGCACCAGGTTCCTGAAATAAGAAATTATAGTTTAGAAACAAAATCTGAGCCAACATAAAATGTGGGAAAGTTGGAAAACTACAGCATAATTCACATCATGTATTATACTTTTATTGATTTCTATTTTTTAAAATTAAGACTTGAATGAATGAATGAATGAATATATGAATGAGTCAATGAATGAATGAATGTCCCAAGTCTAGTTTATGCTGTTTTGGCCCATAAACCATATAATTTATTGTCTATCTTTCAAACACTTTCAAACACAAGGAATTCCCAGTTAACAAAGCCCAACTCCACCAAATGGTCAAAATCAACTGACAAACTCCTGCTCCTTATGTAATGTATGTCATAAATTGTGAGTGCATGCACAATAGTCACAGAACCAAACACTTCATTACTTACTTGTCCCCATGTGTACAGATTATTATGCGTCTGAGAAGGATTCACTTTAGATAGGAGAAACCGTGCCTGTCAAAGCCAAAATAAGCAGTGTAGATGCAATATAATTAAAATTTGTCACATAAATTTGCCATTACTTGCATGTTTCCTTTTAATACAGCTCAGAATAAATTAAGTAGGATTATTTGACAAGGAAAGAAAGTGGAAGAAAGAAAACAGGAAGCGAATTCATATTTCAAAATAACAAGTGCTTAAAGAACAGTTTCTGTTATAATCAGACAGAAGCCATTATCAGTAGCTTCCAGCTTAGACAACACTCAAGTAGTCCTGAGATTATGATCATTCATTCAGCAAACCCACAAAGTTATAATAGCCTTTTTACCCACCTACTCATTCCTAAGGCATCCCTGCACTCTGTAGTGCCTGTTCAAACACTCCCTCATGGCCCAATTAAGACTGCTATGACTAAGCATTGAAATAATGTGAAATATGCTTTACGATTGCAATGGCTAGCAATGGAATTTCCAGTCCCAATTGTGATAACATGAGGACTACCCGAAGACTGCCAGCAAACAACAGTTGCCCCTCAAGACCCCAAAAGTGGCCAAGTTTTGGGTTATTCAGAAAAGTGAAAGGAAAAAGCCTAGGATTTAAACTCTGGAGACCAATGTATACGCTTGACCACTATGTACCACAGTAGACAGATATGCTGCGTATATAACTTCAGTGCCTTTGACTGCAATAAAGAAACTAGTTATGTTATTCTTTGAGTCTTCTGCCCAGTAAGCCAGTTTCTGAATAATCAATTAATTTCTGGAGAACTGGATTTTCAGCTAAGCCAATATATGGCCTAATATTAACAGATATTGCAAAAGTATGGATTTTTCAGTATGAACAAATATTTAACCAAGCCTGAGAGACTGCTGGACAGTGGACATACATTTCTAGGCTTATAACTAGTCCAAGAACATTTTAATTCCTCTGGTCCTTGTCAAGTAGGACATTGCCAAGGACAAGACAGGCCAAAGTCTTGAAGCAGCTCAATAATACTAGAAAGAAGAAAAAAATCCCTCTTCTCTCAGGGAAAGATTGATGAAGCATTAGCATTGGTTGTGCTTTCGTAATAATCTTGCAAAATAAATTGGGCAGAGATAATGACTGGCCCAAAGTTATCCCTGATGCCAGTCCATCACCTTGATTCTTGCCTGACCTTATCTTCAGAGTCAACTTGTGCTGGATGAGGTGAAATCTCTCCAAAAATTCAAGACTGACAGTGTGAAAACACTGGTATGATATATTACAAATATATTAAAGCCAACATTAACTATAAATATAGCTATGGCACCCTTTTTAAATGCACCTATAATTTTTTAAGTCTTCCTTACCTGGCTGCTTCCATGTTCTGTGTAAACATAGCGTGGCATTGGGAATCTTGTTTGTAAAATTTCTTCAGCATCATCCAGCGGAGCCTGAAGTAAATGCTTGAAGTTTTCATATTCTGGAATATCCTGATAACCAGCCTTACGCCACTGGGCAATAGTCTTGTGGAAAACAATGTGGGAGGTATTAATTAAGGAACTTTCATAAATATTTGTCTTTTTACTGCCTAATTCAAATCATGTGCAAAATCCTTATATGATTTATTTCACATTTTAGAAAAACAATCAATGAAAACAAACAAATAAGACCAAGCAATTGTTTGGTGAAAATATCTTGCCTGAGAACATTAAAAAAATAATTATGTAACTTTTATTTAACCACCAATACTTTGTGCTAGTTTGGTTCTAAGCCAATTGTGCTTTGTCTTATGCACAAAATGAAGGCAAAGAAAGGCATTTGCAGGAAAAGGAGCTTGTTATGACCCCAATCCACTTGTGGTTGCCATCAGTATTTGATACAGTCCCCTCATCTTTACAGCAAAGCTAATCAAATCACTTTAACCACCCAGATTTTTTTTGGGGGGGGGGTTTAACTCTGTTCTGCTTCCTTTAAGAATTTGTAATTTCAGAAGTAAATCCTTTGAAAAAACTATTCAATATGTCATAAAAGAAACCTGTTTGGGGGCCAGAACTCTCATATAGTATCACATCAGGTCACTTCTGATTCAGAATATTTATTTTCAGAGTACTGAAGTGTCCTAGGAAATACTTGGTTCTGACAGAAAAATGAACTTTCTGGAATTCCTTGGAATTAACTAAATTTGCACATCTCTATAGTGAGAGATAAGATCACAGGACCTCACATCATATGAAGTGATAATAGTTGGAGTAGTTTTGAATTAGCATATGGAAATACAACTCTTGTTAATAAACAATAATTTAACTTACTGTTATTATGAGCCATTTCTCTATGGCATGTTTTTGCCAAATCATAGTAAAAATGATGGTTTATACAACGCAAATTCAGCCACAGTAGAAAAAAAAAGTTATTAGATAGGGATATGCAAATCATTCCATGTATGGAACTTGGTGCTTCAGATCTATATAACAGGTACACCCATAATGTACCTGTTAGGAGCTCTTTAATGAATATTAAATTAATATCCATTAAAGAGCTACAAATATTCAATTAATATTTGTTTGAGTACAAGAGGAAACAGGATATAACACATTTCTGCTTTCTGGTGGTTTCCAGATTTTTTGCAGCCCAAACCAGGTATCCTTCTCTTTCTAGAGTACACATTCATGATTGACTGAGGCTTGATATTTACTGCACTAGTTTCTTCTTTTGATGCCATAAGGATAATGGAAATGGAAACATTAATTTATATCAAGGGATACATTTCTGATTAGTGATTTACACATACATAAAAAGACATAAACTTTGTCAGTGTAATATGACAGCAGATTTTTCACCTTAAGATCATAGTCTGTGTTGTTCTTTTAGTATATGACTTGTATACTCTCGGTTCAGATAAGAAATAACAACACAGTGAACCTGAGATATCTGAGAGACTGCCTTACTCTGCAACACTCCTCTCCCTGATTATGGTCACCTGGAAAGGTTTGTTTCTAATGGTAGCCAGAGGCTGGCTGACACTCGGGGATGAGTTTTCGCTACCGTGTTTCTCATATAATAAGGCCGGGTCTTATTTTTTTTTGAGCCCCGAAAAAATGGCTAGGCCGTCTTTTCTGGGGTGACTTAATTCCCCCCCCCCTTGCATCTTCGGGTGGGCGGGCAGTGATGGCTTGGATGTTGACCTCGGCGTTGGTGGGGCACTTCATATTGGGGTCAACGCAGGCAGCACCATATCCGGGTGTGCAACAAAAGTACTTCCTAACGGCAAGCCCCCCACCATTCCCCCCCCCATTTTGCATGTTTTAATATAGGTCTTAATTTGGGGGGAGGGGCTTAATTTCATTTCATGCCTATAAAACATGCTGGGACTTCCTATTGGGGGAGGCCATATTGTTGGAGAAACAGGGTATAATTGCAAAGCTTCTATGGAAGACACTCACGAGTTCACTGACTTTTAAGGAGGCTTTAGAAACTCTGACAATTAACCTACAATACTTAATTATTTATTTTACAAATTTTAATTTTTGCCAACAAAGTTATTTAATTCTATTTTAGCACAAGATTTTATAATTCTGATATACTTTCTGTTTTGTGCCTCACCTAGGGACCTTACCAATAGCTGATCAAAAGAACCAAACAAATAATTTCCTTGTCATTCATAGAAATCAGTCATAACAAAGAATTAATTCTTTATTTACCTCACCAAGATAGATAACAATCTGGAAAAAAGTATCCATCAGCAGAATCCTATCAGCAAGAATGCTGCTGCTATCCAATAGTACAGGCTATAAGACACAAAAAAGGAAAGTGTAATTTACAAATAAGAAGGTAAATATAACACAATTTTAACCAAACCTCATTTTGACTGCAGAATTTGAAAAAATGCACACCTAACATTTCTATGTTTTTCTTCCTTGAAGACTGTAAATTTGAAATATTTATTCATTTATTTGCTAATATTTAAAAATGCTACATTTTGAGCATACATCAATTTTATTTTTTTAACACTATTTTCAATCAACTTTCATCAAACATAGAAGGAGAATCACCTCAGGTGGTCCATAGAATGAGTAAGAATAAAGTATAGGCTGAATCATAATAAGAGATTGGGTCAAATCCTGCCTGGCAAAGTGATGACGGTAATAGGAAGATTCATCTGGGCTGTTATTGAATACTTGAAGGAATGGAGATCGTCGCAAATGGAACATGAACTAAATGGAACAGAAAAAAA